TTCAAATCCTCGCTATTTTCTATCGATGCGCAAAAAGCGATTACGAGATGTCAGCCACGTTCTATGATAGAGCCGTGCAAGAATGCAGAGAAGCAGGAGACATGCATTTATTAGTAATTCCGGACAATGATGGAGAAGCAAGTTATGGGAATGAAGACAGAGTACCCTCAAGTACAGAAAATCTTGGAAACGAACCAGTTCAAGTTGCAGTGACCTATCTTGTGCGCAAAGCTATTGCAAAAATATCTTCAGCTAAAATCATTAAGTTTTCAATCAAGTTCCTGTTCGGAATGCTTCAAGGTACTGAGTCAACCAATGAAATGACCAAGCCGGGCTTGTTTAAATTTGAAGAAAACACCATTAGCATGCTGATAAATTCGCATAATTATCAGGAAGGTTTATCACTAACTCAGAAACTTATAACCTATCATCTAAGTTCGCTACAAAAAGAAATTACGGATGAAGAAAACGTCCGCTCAAGTCTGCACAAGGAGGCTCTAGCAAAGTCGTATTTGCTTCGAGGACAAAATCAACATTGCCTGCGTCTCTTCTCAGAAGCTGTCAGTTCAAAACAACACGCTCTAAACATCATCTTGGAACTCTTCGGTGAAGAAGATAGGAAGACCGCCCATGCACACTGCGAATTAGGGTTCTCAAAACACGCACTACGAGATTATAACGCAGCTGCCGAGTCCTACAAGCGTGCACTCGACATCGATATTCAATTGCTTGGAGAAGAACACCAGGACACCGCTAACAGTTACAATCAGCTGGGGGTTACCCAATATTCACTAGGAGATTATACCTCAGCTGCAGAGTCACACAAGCGAGCACTTAACATCAGAAAAAAGGTGTTGGGTGAAGAACATGAGAAAACCGCTAATACCTACCATGATCTGGCGGTTACCCAATATGCACTTAAAGATTACACCTCAGCCGCTGAGTCACACAAGCGAGCACTCAATATAAGACAAAGGGTATTGGGTGAAGATCATGAAAAGACTGCTGAAAGCTACAATGAGCTAGGGACTACCCAATATGCACTGGACGATTACACCTCAGCCGCTGAGTCAGAGAAGCGAGCACTTAACATCAGACAAAGGGTATTGGGTGAAGAACATGAGGAGACCGCTAATAGCTACCGTAATCTGGGGGTTACCCAATATACACTTAAAGATTACACCTCAGCCGCTGAGTCACACAAGCGAGCACTTAACATCAGACAAAAGGTATTGGGTGAAGAACATGAGAAGACTGCTGAGAGCTA